GAGAGAGATGAGAGGTGGGTATCTGTTTTGGGCTCGAACAGTTATAGTTACTAGTTGATGATTGCAGCACTGCACTAGTTCATTTTTACCAAGGCTACTAAAATTTTTGGCAGCACTTTTCTTTTACTAATTCTGATTAGGATCAAAACTTTTTCATTCTAATTTTGTGGAATCAGAACCATTTGGATCAATTGAAAATCTTCGATCTGAATTTTGTGGCGTCAGAGCCACATAGGAGAAATGAAAAATCCAGGTGTGAAAATACCAATCTGATGTTTTTACTATCATGCACAACTATTGTTGGACCAAAACCAAGTGGCTACCAGAAATCTGCCCCATGTTATTGGCTGCTCTGATCCAACTCCAAAATTTGGTTAAAATTGGGTATTACCAGTTAACAATCCGGCGCAAACGGTGGCCCCTAGTCTAATGTCAATAGCATAGATTCCAATTGATAAAGGTTGGAAATTCAATAGCATTTATTCCAATTGAGAAAGGTAGGACCTTCTTCCAAGTTCACCTCTTGGTACATTAGTAATTTCCAGACAGTTCAAGGCATTAACTGGTGCAAAGACCAAACCCAATTTCCTTTTTTAACATAGAAATGGTATTACTTTGCTGAAATTTGAATCCTAACGTAGAAATTGTTTGCCTTTTGCAACACTAGGTGCATATGATAAACCTGGTTTAAAGACTGCTCCTTTGATGAATAGACAGCTTTAAATGAGCAAACTTTGTTGAATTGGGGGATTTGTTCAGGTGGGATAGAAACACTTGAGACTGAGACCTCTCTATTGCTTCATGAACAAACGAGGCTTCTTCAATCTGGTTTTTCTGATCTGTACACTGCATGCTCTCTCTTTCTATATCACTAATTTGTCTGCTCTACGTGCTCTCTCTCTCTCTCTCTCTCGTCCGAGAAGCCCTCTCTCCCACTGTACACTGTATGCTCTCTCTTTCTATATCACTAATTTGTCTACTCTGCATGCTCTCTCTCTCGTCCAAGAAGCCCTCTCTCCCACTTTTACCTGTGCGTATTCTCTTTATCTCTCACTGGTTTATCTCTCACTGGTTTCTCTGTTGTGCGTGCCCCCTTTTTCTTATCCCCTAAACTTTCTCTCTCTATTAGGGGCCATTGGTCTTTTGGGTTCCGATTGAGCCCGGGCCAAGTTTTGAATCTCAACCATCCATTTTAAAGTAGGTGAGTATAGAGAAAGCTTTCCCCATAAAATATGCAATATCAAAAAAAAATGAAAATCAACCTACCTATGCAGAGCAAAAAAATATGATTGCCTTGGATAGTATTAGCATAGTCATATTTGTTGTATGTGAAGCACTTGTTAAAAGGTGAGAGAGAGATAATTGTGGCATATATGAGAGAGAGAGAGAGTTGTGACGTGCATGCATGTGAGAGAGAGTAATGTAGGTAAGAAAATTGTGGGAGGAGGAGAGAAAAAGTCGGAAGAAAAAAGATGAGAGAGAGATACGTAGGAGACAGGTATGTGGGACTAGAAGAGAAGGGAAAGGTTTCTATATTTCCCCAACAGCATAGAAGATCTATGCTTCCCCTGTCATCCAACTGTTCAATTTTGATCAAGAGAGCTACTCACCGTTTGATCTTAGATCCAATGTGTCAAAGTATTTTATTTTTATTTATTTTTATACAAATTGTATGAATATGAAATTTGGTACGTACCATCTTATCATTGGGGCGAACCTATAAAAAAATATTAAAAATAATTTTTCAATAAAATATAATGATCAAAATACCCCTTTAAACATTCAAAGGTATTTTGGTCATTTTATTTTATTGAAAATATCTTTTTGAATATTTTTTGCTAGTGCGAGTTTGATAGAGGATTGGATGTACAAAATTTGTTGTCAAAATAGTTTATAGCAAAAATTTTAAAAATAAAATAATGTAAAGATGTAGCATTGTGATTGGGGCAATCTTAGCCCTCCATTCAAAATGGACAGTTGGGGAAGTATATATGTTTTATTTTGTATGGTCATGTCTTTCTTCATGATTTACTCTCACTTCCTCCCATATTTATTTTTTCTTCCTATATTTATCTCTCTCATATTTCTCTTCCAGACAAGCTTTCTATGCTTCCCCTACCGTATAAAACTTATATACTTCACCTTATCCAACCGTCCACTCTGAACAGGGGGCTAAGATTGTCCCAATCACAATGTCACGTCTCTATATTATTTTAATTTTAATTTTTTTATATAAAATATTTTGACACCAAATTTTGGAGGTCCAATCTCTATTAAACTCGCACTAGAGAAAAATATATATGTATTAAAAAAAAAAAAGATTTATAGTCAAATAAAATGAACAAAATACCTCTTGAAATTATATTTTATCGAAAAATTATTTTTAATATTTTTATAGGTGCATCCCAATGAAAAGATGGCACATACTAAATTTCATAATAAAAAGAATTGTATAAAAAAAACTAAAAATAAAATACTTTGAGACGTCGGATCTAAGATCAAATGGTGAGTGGTTGATCAAAATTGGATGGTTGGATGGTAGGGATAGCATAGATCTTCTATGTTGTAGGGGAAGTATAGAAACATTTCCTTAAATTGGGAAGAAAAAAAATTTATTTAAATTGAAGAAAGAAGAAGATAAGGCATCACCACAATAAAAAATAGAGTTACCTAGAAGATAAGGTATTATCATACTAAAAAAGAAGTTATTTATTTTTGTACCTTTGGATGCATGTGGAAAAAAAGATATAATGAGAATGAGAATATAGAAACATGTGAGAGGAGGAAAAGACGAGTAAATTAAATTGGCTTTTAGTTGAGAAAGCGGAAATGAGGTGTCATCACACAAGCAATGGAGTTATCTGTTTGTATATATTTTCATGTATATAAGATAAAGAAAGAGCTAATATAGAAATGTAAGAGAGATGGAGAGATGACAAAGTGTCATCACACAACTAAATGAACTATCTATTTTTAATATTTGCATGCATATAGGATGCAAAGAGAGATAATATAAATACGTAGAAGAAATGGAAATAGTAAATTAAGAGAAATAAAAGAGAGCATATGTAGAAATGTGTGAGAAAAAAAGGGATAAGAATTGAATGAAAAAAGACAAGTGGCGCGATAATAAAAAGGGTGTTGCTCTGGTTTAATATATAATAGATAGTTAGATAGAAAAGATATTTTTCCTACAGTTAATTTTATATTTTGTATTTTATATGTGGCTGATTTAATATTGATTCTAATGAGAATTACAAATCGTGATCAGAATCGGTTAGGAGCCCTCCCAAATTTGTTGAATGGGCACAAAGTTGAGAATAAAATTAGATATGAAATTTGGCGGCTAGAGCATAAAGGTATGTCATTGGGTGGGCACAAAGTCGAAAATAAAATTTCTCCAACGATGTGATATACTTTAAATTGTCAAGTTTTATATCTAATGGCTAAAGACAATTGTTCAGTCTTTGTGCTGAAAGTGAATAGTCTATATTATACAATCTCTTAAAATAAAGTATAATTAAGCAAAAATTCTTTTTTTCACTATGAAACTAATAAAATTGTTCAAATGGTTATCCAATGCATAGATGTAACCGCTCAAGTGATTCAGTATAAATCTTGGATCTCAAATTGAAACACAGAATCTTAATCCTTAAGTGATATTCAGCATTAAAAAAATAGAAGTTAGAAGTGTCATTTTCCTTATTTTTATGGAAAATAAAAGACTACCATGCTTTTAACTTGAGACTTTTGAGTTATATTATATGGAAATAAATTTTATTTACTAGGACTATACTTCTTAGGGATGACATATTTTTAGAACCCTAGTTTTGAAATGGCAAAAGAAAATCTCCAAGAATAGAAATTCCTCATTAAAATTTTAAAAATTAAGATTGTGCATTCTTATTTTACTTAAATAAAAGATGTCCAAGATTAGATATTTATCTTAAGGCATGTTGGATGATAGTTTTGTATGGAATAAATTGTCTTATTTAAAATTCACATCATATGGATAATATTGTTTTGGAATTGCATATAAGGAGACCATTTACAGTTGATATAAGGAGGTTACAATTACTTACAATTTGAAGGTGCACCTTCCTCTACAGCTATGGACGTATCCGCATGCCAACTGCACCCAATGTTAAATACCTTCTCTATCATCGGTAATTTCATATATTTCCTTTTTACTTACCCAAAAAAAATTATATATTTCCCTTTAATTATTTAATTTTTCAACCATTTTTAGTTATTTTTGCTAGAATGCTATATTTAACCGATGGCTTTAAATAAATTTCTGGCTAGAATGCTATTTCAAAAAAATAAATTTATATGTAAAATCGATGTCAAATAACTTTATTATGGACACTACCATACTATAATTAATTCATTGCTAGAATAAATTTTATAAAAACAGCAAACTATCATTGATTACGAGTACATCCAAACATACTGTTAATCTTACATACTTATCTTAATCTTATGCATGGGAGGAAACCTTTTACTAATTTGTATGGATAGAATAAATATATGAAGGCCTTGTTAAATAAACAATGGAAAAAAATTGAGCTCATTCAGATTAGTCCAATTCACCTTCTTTTTGCTTGAGAGTAAGTATAGGATATGAGATTCTCACATCACATTTAAATTCACTACGGTTATTTGACATCATCCCGGGCACCAAGACGTCAACAGAAGACAGTTGGGGTGATGTTAAAGAAATCTAGGAAAGTCAAGCACAAGAATTGTATGCAGTGTTCAAAAAAATGTCGGATCAGGTGCATTCACATCTGATGTGCATGTGCGCGTGCGTGTGCGTGAAAGAGAGAGAGAGGGTGTGGGGTGTCGTGGAAATCAGTTTAGAAGATCCCATATAACTTTTCCATTTTACTATGAGAATACACTATAAAGAAAACCAGGGTGCAATCACATTAGCCTGTAAGGAAAAAAAAAACTCTTGAGAGAGACGGAGTGCAACATGCTTAAGATAACAGTTAAACTAGTTCCACCAACTCAAAGATCCATGTGATTTCATTGACAAAATATTAGCAGGACACCAGAAATATCTGATTATAGCCAACATGGAAAACCCCAACTCAAAAATCCTGACATTCAAAAAGAAATGCACAAGAAACTTGGTTCGATAATCACAGTGAACAAATAAACTAAGGTGGCATCATACATAGCTAAGAACTGAACCAAATAATTTAGCAGAGGACCAAGGCGCTCAGGCAAGTCTAATGCCAGCAATGCCCGGAAAAAGCACAAGAGGGATGCAAATAATGATGTAAAAGATGCTTTGATTCTTCTGCAAGCAATGTGTGAAGCCCCCACTTCTGTGAATAAAGTCTAGGCCAACCCATGTTCCCATTGTGAGACAAAATACGACCCAACCGATGCTACCACGGAGTAAATGGGCTACCAAACTTGGTGCTACAACAAATACAGGGAAGCGTGATGCTGTAGAAATGAACATCACTTAGTTACCATAAGTACTATATGCTTTTGCAAAAAGGAAAAAGAAAAGAAAAAGGACGCATGATGTGGGAATATACAGCATGGTAGAATTTAGAGAGTATGGTTTTTTATCTGCAATGCCACAATTAGTGTTTTGAGTGTCAAGTTCCAAAATGAAGATGTCATGCAAAATCCTGCAAAGCCATGTAACCAGTTAACCAAATCTTAATTACCATGTTGTAACATTATTTACTTTTATGTGAACTCTTAAGATCTATTTCATTTGCAGGCCAACTCTTTCTAGGCAGTATTCTCAAGCATTTCACTAAATATTTCAATAGTTGCAAAAATTTCTACTTGCGATTGAGAGAAATAAGTGCAGGTATATGCACAAAACACATCTGATTCTGAAACCAACTTCACTATTTTCCAATTCAACCCAGAAACGCAGAGTTGGATTTGGCTACAAAACTAGGAGAAAAATGGCCGTGTTTTGTTTCACAACTCTTCACCATTTTGTGTCCAGAAGGTAAGAAAACTTTCCCAATATAAGTGTTCCAATTTTCAGTTTGAAACTGCGATTGCCCATCTATTATAAAGTTCTCTAGGATTCTACTCCTATCAATGAAGAACATAATTGTTTCCTCGGGTGCAGTTGCCCATCTATTATAAAGTTCTCTAGGATTCTACTCCTATCAATGAAGAACATAATTGTTTCCTCGGGTGCTCAAAACTCAAACCCAACTTGATATTTTCCTTGAAAATTGCTCAACCATTTCTTCTTTTTAATTCTACCACACTTTGTCTCTACATAGTTAGCTATTCTTAAACGCCATCATAGACATACCTCGAAAATATGGGGAACAAAAGAAGTGTGCCAGAACAGCTAAGAAAGATGCCCACATTCCAAACTCTCCTCTGCAATGCAGTAAAATATTTGTTATGATGGGAGCATTAACAAAGATAGCTGTGAATTGGGAAAATCAGCAAGACCATTTTGGATGACAAATGAGTACATACCGCAATATATTGAATAGAACCAATGGTAAACATGAGAAGATATAAACAACTAAAAGCGAAGTCTGCAGGTGCGACTTATGGCCCAAGTAGTTCAGTAATAACAAAATTCTGTCAAGAGAGCAAGGAGGGAAAATTAGGGTGGTAGACCAAGATACAAAAATGATGTGATGCCATTGTAAATCTCAGTTCTCAGCCATTCGCATCAGAAAATAGCATTATGATCATTCTAGCCAATATTGTGCATAGAACATGAACTTTTTAAATGCCGTAGTCATGCAAATTCCAGAGGTGAGAACAATTAGCTAGGCATGAATAAACTCCAGTTATCAGCGATTTCAAATAAGGAATATTCTTGGACTAGTGTTAAAGAGGGCATGAATTTTGAGATTGCTAGCCTTGTGGTACAATAAAAGCTCCTTTCGTACTTGGATTATATTGTCTCCATCCAAAGGAGAATTGCTTTTAACTACTTGTGAAACAGTTTTCAGAAAGTTAGATCCATTCATTTAGAGTATGGAATTAGGTTCAGCGTACCTCAAAAGTTCTACGATAAAAAATTTGATGCTTTGATAAAAATAGGATAAGGATCAGAAACACTTTCAGGTACTTCAGCAAAAGGAAAGTCATTCTGGTCACTGCGGCCAAATTCAAGCATAGAACAGACAATAGTTTAAGCATTTGGATCTCACTTTTGGTAAGAAAAGCATCATATACCATGTATAGGATATTAAAACCCCATCTTTCTTGTTTGAATGAAATTCCTAGGCCATAAATCTGGAGTTTCAGACCACGGAGGATTCAGTGCACTCAGATTTACTTACTTGCAACCCAGATATGATACCTAGTTGTGGCATTGAACCAAAATGAACAGAGAGACACATACAAAGGCACAGAGACACACACGAGAGGGGGGGGGGGAGGGGATCATCTATATTCAGGCATCAAGGAGCTTATGATATCGAAGTTGATTATTGTGATTGCTACTTGTCGTGTAGCACTAAACAACATGTAGGCGTGCAAGGTTTTGTAATCAACCTCAAAGAGAGTAAGGAAATGTGGTTTCCAAGGATATGTGATTTAGTGTGCACTGATTCATTTATGATTTATTTATTTCCTTTATAACTTGAATTCACCCAGTGGCTAGTTGTACTTCTTTCACAATGTTTTGAGAAAAATGCCATAAAAGGAACAACAGCCCTTGTAACACCTTACATATGCATCTCATCTGCTTCAACAGGATTACTGGGGCGCACTGGCCAATTACTTTTTGAGTTTATTTTATATCTGCTCTAATACCAATTAGCTACATTTATATATATTACACTACTACATTTTCAATATCTCCATATTCTATATATCTTTTAACATTAATGGTATGATTTTTATGTCTAACAAACAAAACTGATGATCAAAAATTATGTTTTAATGTTATGCCTGCTGCGAAAGCTTGGGACTTTAAGAAACCCTAACGAGGCTTACAAAGACTTTTTTTCTTCTCTCAATTTTTTTTTTTTATGGAGTAGTTCAGCTTCAGGAATCAGTCTAACAGAGACTTCAACACATGGATCCTTAGCCTCTCTATTACATACTTTATTTGATAAAGTTTTCCTTCATAGGAAGCAATTCTGGACAAGAAATGCCTCTGTAATGGAATTCAAACACCCATTATCATGCATGTGCATTTATCAACCAATCAGTAGCATAAAACATCTTGAACTTCTCAGAAGGATGGAACAAGAGTACCCATTTCCTGAAACAATGAAATAAACATGCCACTAAAATTACAAAATATGCCCTGAAAATTGGGATCAAAATAACGAAATATTACAATATATAGACAAGCACACTATAAGAAAAGCTACAAAAAGTTTATGAACTTAAATACCCAAATCGCAAAACTGCATAAATCCTGAAAACATTAAACTAAATAACCCATTTCCTTGAAAGAGTGGAATTGAGATGGCAAAAGAAACACCCAAAACTGTGTAAAAAATTGCCCACAAAATCTTTTAACTGCATCAATCTAGTAGCATAAACCACCATACATGAATCAATAAATGGAACAAAGGAGAACACAACCATAAACAAGTAGCATAAACCACCATACATGAATCAATAAATGAAACAAAGGAGAACACAACCATAAACAAGTGAAAGTTTACTATCATCACAGAGATATTTTCGTCAAACGGATTAAGGGATATAATGATATGGAAAATGAACTGAAAACTAGAGAGAGAGAGAGTTCCCAATAAAAGGAATAAGGAGGAAGATAAACTAAAAACTGGGAATTGGGGAAGCTTACACAGCAGCAACAGAAGCTCCCCAGTGGTAGAAGGTGTCGCCTTTCTCTGTGTGGCCTAGCATTAGGCCATGCATATCCATTGGGCTAACCCACCAAACTAAGATCGGGAATTGTAAACTTAGTTATTTGGGTATCAGTGGAAATAATAAAAATCCACAAAAAATAGTGCCTATTCAGAGAATTTCTCAAAGAACTGAACCATGCCTAATTCTGGAATTGGGGTTTTGGGGCATGAGTCATCACCACACTCATTTCATGTCAATTATGAATTTCCAATGCTTTCTATGTAAGTTTCATTTTCTAATGTTTTCCTGGAAATTTCATTCTCTCTCTCGCCCTTTATTTAATTCCTAGGTCCCTGTGTTCTCAACCCCAGGCACTTTTTCTTAGGGCATGACTGAGCATAGTACACTGCCTCAATTTCTCTCGCCTCTCATTGGTTACTACCGAGGCCAAGGCCTTCTCTCTCTAGACCATGGTAACTTTTCCCTTCCTCTCTCTCCCTGCCTATAGCTTACCCTACTTGGGCAGACTTTATATAAGAGTTTATATAAGGTTGAGGCCCTAAATAATCAATTTAAGTTGTACTTCAAATATTCATTCGAAAAAGTTCTTTTGATGTCAAAAAAAAAAAACTCTCAAATCAATTATCCCAAAAGATATAGATGTAAAAAAAAAAAGAAATTCAAGTCTAAAAAAGAATGCATTTTATAATGCATTGTATGGGCCGTCAATTATCAAGAATTTCAAGTGTTTGTAAATATACTCGATTTACATAATTTTTTAAACTTTAAATTTTATAACTAGAAATTATTTTTCAAATCATCACAAAGATGTTTGCTACTAAAAATCTTCTTTGGATACTATTTAGGGATCCACCTTACTTTGATTGTTTAGGGCCTCAACCTTATACGAACCATACCCATGAATAAGGTCACGCCTTAAAAAATAAAAAAATGTTGTTTTTTTTGTAGAAAAACTTCCTATGCTTTGAAATTTTAGTTTCATATCTAATTAGGAAATTTAAAGTTTTAAAAATAATGCAGATCTAGTTAATCTACAAACAATTGAAATTTTTGAAAATGAACGATTTTGGATAATACATTACAAGATGCATTATTTCTAGGACTTGTGTCACGCCCCAAGAATTTACAATACCGATATTCTTGATATGTGACAGTCAAAACATATATACATCTCTTGATAGGACAAATTTACAGTGGTGAATTCTTACAAAGTAACAAAAGAAAGTTTAAGCACAACTACAATATCTTCCAAAGTTGATCCTGACGAGTACTAAAAATGAAACCGCAGTTATCCTGAAAAAATGTTTACCATAGTTTGATGAGTTTGGCTACTCAGTAAGTGATCATCATAATCCTAAAAATAATCATGATTGAAAGATATCAATATTTTCAAAAAGGAGATCTATTAACAGGAATGCATTAACAGTTTCACTTTAAAAAATGCATAATTAAGAATAATTGAATGCATATAACATTTAACATCAATACATAATTCAAAAGATTTCACAAATACCCTACTCGCGTCTCAAGCAGGTCACCTATATACCCCATCAGCATCCTGATGGATCCACTTAATCCCTATTGGCGTCCCAGATAGGTCCACTTAATCCCTGCAGGTCCATTTATACCTCACCGGCATACCGGGTAAGTCCACTTAATCCCTACCGGCGAACCGGATAGGTCCACTTATACCTCACCGGCGAACCAGATGAGTCCACTTGCATACTTAAAGTATTTCTAAATCTCTTTAAACATTCGAAAGCAGCAATATCATGTACTCAACTTATCACTGAAATCATTAATATGAATTTCACTGAAACCATTAATAGCAGTCACTTTCAATAACATTTCTAAAATAACCAGTCAAATATTTTGGGCTCAAATGAAGAAAGGTAGTAGTTCGTAAAGATATTCTAGCATAATTGCCAATCTAATATGTATAGAAAAACTCTTATAGAAATTCAAGAATACGGAATTATCACAATTTATGGGATGTCAATTCGCAAATAAACATTTCACAGACAATGCTATATTCAAATACAAAAATATCCGTTTTCAAATAATAAGGTAGTCATTTGCACATGAATTTTACAATGTCTAAATATTCAAAAACAGTGGAAAGAAATGTCACAATTTTACTAAAAGCAGAAATATCACATTTATTTCTGATAATTTTACAGTATCTAAAATTTTCTAACAATAGACAAGAAAAATAAAGAAACTTATTTTTCTTAGAATTTACAGCATTTAAAATTTCTAACATAGATAAAATATCACAATTTTATTAAAAAAGATTATTTTTCAAAATAATGAAGTTACTTGCGCATAAAATTTATCGCACCTAAAACTCATGATAATAAGCAGAAATAATTATTTCATTTCATTTTCATTTTTTTTTAAAAAAGAACGAACTATTTTTCAAGATAATGAAGTCACTTACCTAAAATATTTGAGAGGGAGCTTCCGATAAAAATTCAGCTAGAGAGAGGAGCTGTCACACCCC